CCTTCGGCGGAATGAAGTGCCATGTTGTGCCATTGTGACGCCTCATAATTATTATTAATAAATAATAATTAAATTCATTATACAGATATTTAAAAATGTCATAGAAATTATAATTTAAACAATAAAATGCAAATAATAAGCATAGAGTTCAAAAATATCCATTTGGAATATTGAATATTATATATATTAGTAAACGCATAAAATGTCTCAAAAAATCTCTAAATTTATTAAAAACCTACTTAAAATGTTTAAAATATATCAAATCATATAAATACAAGGCGATTATATTGCAATAACAAAGATAAATAACATTTGTAATATAATAGAAAGTTGATGAAGGTGTTCGTGTAATAATTGGAAAATTTCTAAGTTAATGAACGTGTTCTTGTAATGTTCCCTTATATTGGGGTGTTGTCGGAGACACATACCCAAGGTTGTACATATATATGGGGTGGTCGGCTGACCGACTGCTAGTACTAAGGTTGCACAATGACTAGTCCTATATTAGGGACTTAACATAGTAAGGTCTAACGAACCAAAGCATTAATATAGAAGGTCTCTATGATGCATAAGCATTATGATAGCAGAGTTATGACTTGAAGTCCCATATGAATAAGACATACAGTAGTATGGTCTATGAAATAAAGCAAATATGTGGAAGGTCTCAAATATGTAAAAGCATTATATTGAAAGAAATGGGACTTGAAAAGGATTATTATAGTGGCGTGTAGGTTGCTTCGCAGCCTCTGAGACCGAGGTAAACTTGGACTCACTAACCGATGTGTCCTAGACATATCATCTTAGTGCCGGTGGTAAGCGGGTTTGTTGTAGCAATACGACTTGCCCGTGGACATCGCATACCCCTACCGGTTGTGGGCGGCGTCTTAGCGCATAGCGTTATGATACGTCGGCTATCTTTCGGATTAGGGTGAGTGTGTTTGGTAGTACTTTTAAGTGCAGCAAGCATACTCAACTTCATGTCTTAGTGCAATAGCGCTATGATACGTGGAGTATTGGCTACTGGCGTCTTAGTACCGTGCTACTATGATACGTTGGTGGTATTTTTAGTTAACAACATTATCAAATTTTGTTACCAAAGTCGATAGGGATCATGTGGGTGTGTTGTGAGGGGGCGCCATCCGTATGATAGTTGCATTGATGCTTACTGCTACTTGCAGTATTGTGTCTTGTGATGGATCTGCGGGTGTGCTGCACCTGATTCGATGCATCTTGTGGTTCTGGTCGATGGAGGTATGCGGGTGGTGATGTCTGCTGGGACTGTATGGGGGACCTTGGGATGGTGTAAGCCCGACGATAGTCGTATTGATGCTTGTTGCATTCTGTAGCATTGCGTCTCTACGATGGTTGTTTGGCGGGTCGCTATTCTCAATGGCGCTCTCTGCGTCTTGGTTTGACTCACAACCTAAGTAGCTTTGCCCAAGTCGGGTCCCTTCATAGCGGGGCTGCAGACTGTCTGCCCTCCATGATGTTTTATATAACAACTTAATAATATATCTCTATAAAGTTCCCACCTTTGAGAGATTGAAGGCAACTTGTTGGTGGGTGAGACAAACATGATCGAAAAATGCATATACTCAACGTCAGTGACACAAACCTTTTCTGATGGCGAATTATTAATATTATCTTATAACTGCCTATTGGCTATATCTGCCATTGTATTGGTTGGTGGAGCATATGTGTTGACCTCATGCGGGTGGTAGCTGGAGGGAGAATCTGAGGAGGCTCTCAAGGCTGCGGCCGAAAGCCGCGCAACGTGGGACCCCATTCCCTTGAGGTGAGCGGTAGACTCATGACACGCTCTGCGGCCAATTGGCCGTGCTGACCATGCAATTGGTGGTGATGCCTTACACTTACATCACGTCTGCAGAAACGGCGGTCTGGCAGGTGGTGGCGCTCACGGAGGGCTTTTTATGGTCAGTGTGCCGATTGTTGCCTAACCGGTGTGACGTACATTTCACTGTGGCTGGATTTGATCGTATTCTGTATGGCGTTTACACGCATTGACATGCGCGACTTCGGTCGATGTTTGTGCTTACGCACTATCAAGGGGCCAAGTCCTCTTTTACTGGTTCGCCAGTTATTTTGCTGTGGACTACGGTCCAGTTCCCAACTTTGCGTACCCTTCGGGGGGAGCGCATTAAAATGGTTGGCGCTCACCGTGCGCGGCGTGTGTGGGGCCGTGTACCTCCTCCACATTTTTTTTAAAATGTGGGAGAGCGAAGCCCTTGTAACTGGTATTTGATATAAATATTGTGAGCTTTCCAAGCGGGAAGGGATTAATTAATAAGGAATTGACTGTTGTGAACCAGATACAAGTGGAATAGGGACAATTTATTGTTCTTAACCTTTTTGAGATCTGTCTTCGTGAACGGGGTTCTCTAACTTATAAGACTCTACCAACAGCTTTCGATTGCTCTCGTGAATATTCATTCTTCCAAGATACACCTAAAAGAACTAAGTTACTATACAAACACAACGTAAAAAAGGGTCCTAACTAAGACGATCACGCCATAAATTTATTAAACGGCCTATATTTAAACCTTTAGAAAGATCAAGTTATACTGGTCACGTAAATTAGATGTATTTATATATCTTACAGATATAGATTCTAAAGAAATACAAGTATAAGTGGGATATAGTAGAAAAGAAAAAAGATGGGGGGGGGGGGGGATTCGTTACAATTTGGTGCCGTGACCAGGATAGAGGTTAAATTTTAAATAGGAGGCCGGTAATATAAAATTATGAGGTAGGCTATATGCCTACAATTTGTTGTCCGTGAAATGGAGAGGTGTCTTGGAGAGTGGTGTTTGCTGGGGGTGGTTGAGAGTCTGGGGGTGGGGCTTAAATATTAAAATTGAGTAATAATATAGGAGGTGTGTGCATAACGGAGCGAAATAATAAAAAGTGAAATAAGTGGAAAGACTCAATTAAACTAAGTGAAGGACACAACAGGTGTAAAAAAAAAAAAAAAAAAAAAAAAAAAAAAAAAAAAAAAAAAAAAAAAAAAACTGCAATACTATATATTATAAAGTGAAATAAGTGGAAAAACTCAATTAAAGTAAGTGAAGGACGCAAAAAGTGTAAAAAAAAAAAAAAGTGGAAATAAAAATTAAAATGGCTAAAAATAAGAAAAAATCAACCTCAATTAAGGCTAAGCCTAAAGATGAGATGAAAATGCTTCAGAAATTAATTAAGAATGCAGTGAAAACCTTTGAGGTTAAAATAAAGGATCTTGAGGAAAAATTTATTAACCAAACTAAAGATTACCAAATTAAAATAAATCAAGGAGAGGTGTCCGGAGCGAGCACCTCTCATGTAAATGATCCTAGACAAAATATTGTATATAATGTACATAATGTAACAATAGAAAAGCCGAAATTTGGAAATGGAAATACTCATCCAGTATCATTTTTGGAAGATCTCACCAATTATTTAAAGAAAGTTCCATCTATTGGTCTCGAAATTTCGATTGCACAAGAGTGCTTAGTAGGTGAAGCCAAGTATTGGGCTCGCATTAATAATGTGCGTTGGATAACTTTTGATGATTTTAAAGCTGACTTCCTAAGAGTGTTTTGGGGTGAAGAAGAACAAAATAAAGTAAAGAGATTCCTTGTGCAAAATAAATGGAATAGAAGTACACACCCCACCATGGTTAGTTATTTTCTTTATGTGGTTGAGAAGGCACAAACATTATCATATCCGATACCTGAAAAACAATTAGTAACTGATGTCATCAGACATTATCCTAAAACTGTGCAGCAATTATGGAGAATAGCTAAAATTGAGACAATAATAGACACGACAGATTTCTTAAGAAACTTAGATGACATCGACAAACAAGATGAAGGTCGTGAACCTTACTATAATGAGAAAAGGAGGAAGTTTAATAATAATACGGAGCAAAAACATAAAGAAATACAACAATCATACAAAACATGGCGTAAACCCGAAGAGGGAAAAAAGAAGGTTAATGAAGTACATGAAATACATTTCACTAATGACCAACCTGATGTTACGGCTCCTGAGCCAAATTTAGAGCTGTAGAGGTCGAACTAGTTCCCGATTCGACCCCTTACAATGTAAAAGGGAACAAAGCATTAAATATGTTATTAAAACTGGGTTGGCGACCTGGTCAAACATTGGGTAAAAACAATAGAGGGTTGCGAAAACCTATTACTTTAAAAGCAAATTTTAACAGAGAAGGCCTTGGTTATAACGACAATGTATATAGCATATTAAACACCTTAAAAGCCAGGTCGGACTTGCCCATAACGGAGTTATTCGTGCAAACCGTCTTCGAGGAAGACGAAGATAAATATCAAAGGGAATTTATAGGGAATATGAGATCTGAAATTAAAGTTTCAATATTTGGCAAAGAAATAGACGCGCTCCTCGACACTGGGAGCGATGTTACATGCATTTCAGAAAGTTTATATTTACAAATTAAAGAAAATAATCGTAAAATATCAATAATGCCAGTTAAAGCAATGCAAATAAAAGGTGCTGTTGGGCAGCGCAGCACAAAAATACAACAGATGATCATATTGCCTATAAAGATAGATGAAGTAGTCTTTGAAACACAAACTTTAATTGTAGGTAATTTAATAAGACCTTTAATATTAGGCTTTGACTGGCTCAAGAGAAATAAAATATTGATTGATTTGAGAAATACTACTGTTGGAATAGAATTTAAAGTGAAAAACAAAGACTACTTTATACCTTTCAAATATAATAATAAATCTGTATTATATAATAACTGCATCAAACAATGTACCGATGATCCCTTAATAAATATAAAAATAGGATCTACATTGGAGGTCTCTGAAAGGGCAAAACTTAGTAAGGTTTTGGAAAAGCATAAGAATATGTTTTCGAGCAAATTGGGAAGAGCCAATTGCTATGAGCATAAAATTGAAATGATCGATGATGAACCTATAGTTACTAGGTCCTATCCCATTCCATATGCATATAGATCGAAAATGGAAGAAAAGTTAAATGAAATGGAACAAGCTGGTATCATCACAAGGACATCAACGCCTTACAGTAGTCCATTGACATTCACTCTTAAAAAAGACGGCTCAATTAGAGTTCTGCTTGATGCCAGAAGCATAAATAAGAAAATGGTTGCAGAAACAGAGAAACCACCTATACAATTAGATGTTTTGAATTCATTTCACGGAGCGAATTATATCACTACCATTGACTTAAATAATGCATATTTTCAAATTCCGATAAATAAAGATGGTAGAAAATATACTGGATTCACATTCAATGGAAAGTCATATGTATATAATGTTTTGCCGCAAGGATTAAAAACATCAGTAGGAAGCTTTAGCAGAGCCATGAATTTAATATTAGGACCAGAAGTCCAAGAATTTTGTGTGAACTATTTAGATGATCTAGCCATTATTACAACAGGAACGTTAGATAAACATTTGGAGCACATTGATATTGTTTTAAGTAAATTGAACAAAGCTGGCTTAACGTGTAACTTGCAGAAATGTGAATTTATTTGTAAAGAAATTAAAATGCTGGGTTTTATAATTTCAACAGAAGGCATAAAGACAGATCCCGATAAGATTCGAGCGATCCAAGAGTTTCCAGCACCTAAAAAGATTAAACAATTAAGGGCCTTTTTAGGTCTATGCAATTTTTATAGAAGGTTTATACCAAATTACAGCGAGAGCATAATACCGCTCTGTGAATTACTTAAAAAGGGACGAAAGTTCCAATGGAGCGGTAAAGAACAGAAGGCATTTGATTTCATAAAACAACAATTTATTAATACAATACAATTGCATCATCCAGACTTTAATAAGCCGTATTATTTACAAACAGATTGTTCCGGTGTGGGTATGGCCGGAGTACTATATCAGATAGATGATAATAATGAAATGAGAATTTTAGGCTATCATAGTAAAGCCTTAAAAGGCCCCGAATTAAATTGGTCTGTTACTGAACAAGAGTTTTATGCTGTAATAAGCTGCCTAAAGAAATTTCAAACATATTTGCGGGGCAGTAAAGTAATAATACTAACTGATCATAAAGCATTATTGTTTCTTAATAATATGAAGTTATTCAATGGTAGAGTAACCCGATGGATTTTGTATATAGAACAATTTAATTATGAAGTACAGCATATATCGGGTAGACGTAATATTGTTGCAGATGTGCTATCACGTTATCCTCCTGATGGCGATTTAATACAAGAGGATAAAAATAATAGTTTAGAAATTGCTTACACAGAGAGCGAACCGAATATTGAGTTGATAAAAAAAATTAAAATCCTTATCAGTATATCAATTACAAGATTCAGAGTCATTGGCTATTATTAAAAAGTTAAAGACATTAAATACTTCCATAATAAAACAAAACAATAAATTTAAAAGGTATAGTTTGAAAAATGATGTATTATATTACAAAACGAATTTACAAGAAGTAATATATTTACCTAAAGCATTGAGACAAGATATTATAAATCAAGTGCATGTCGAAATGGGTCATCAAGGAACCTATAAGGTAATTAAATATGTGAGAGACAGATTCTTTTGGAAAGGTTTAACAAAAGATATTAAAAACCAATTAAGGGCTTGTCATTTATGTCAGTTATCTAAGAAAAGCAATATAACATATGTGGGTCCCTGTAAATCTATAATAACAGAAAACATTGGCGATATAGTCATGGCAGACTTATATGGACCACTTGTATCAGGTACCTTTGGGTACACTTTCATATTTGTCATTCAAGATTCATTCAGTAAATTTATCAAATTATATCCTTTAAAACAGTCAACAGCAAAGTCTGTTGTAACAAAAGTAAAGCATTTTGTTGAGATTATAAAGCCCAAGGCAATAATGACAGATAATGGAAAACAGTTCGTAAGTAATCACTGGAAACAATCAATGAGTGAATTAAATATAAAGCCAATATATACCACAGTTAGAAATCCTAGACCAAATACAACAGAGCGAGTAAATAAAGAGTTGAGCAGATTATTTAGGACGCTTTGTCATACTAACCACAAAGATTGGGCGTTAATATTGCCGAAATTAGAAGAATTGTATAATAATTCTTATCACAATAGTACAGGCTTCACGCCTTGTGAGATTCTTTATGGTGAGTCTAATGAGATGTCTTTTGACAAAGTAATTTCCAAAAGTAAAGACAAACATAATGTCGAACAGATTAGACAACAAGTGCGTAAAAATTTAAAAGAGGCAAGTCGAATAAGAAACACAAAATTTGATAAGCGAAATAGATTAATAAAATATAATATTGGTGACTTAGTAAAAATTTCAAGATCTAATAGATCAGATGCTGATAATAAAGTTATGAGTAAGTTCAATTTGGCATATGAAGGACCTTATGTAATAGCAGCCGTACCATTTGACAATGTATATACCTTAACAAATCCAGAGACAAACGAAATTAGAGGAATTTTCAATGCTATTCACTTATTAAAATATTTTAAATAATAATTTCTTTTTGTATAAATTAGAGTAATTAAATAAATATTGTAACATAAAAGGGTTTTGTGGGTGGCCCATGGAAATAATTGTTTAAGTTAAAGGTCTAAAATTATTAAGTTATGAGCAAGAGATTTGTTATATGATAGTAGAACGTTATTAATATATAATGAAGAGTTGTAAATATAGATCGCAAGATAATTTTGTAATCATTTTTATTAAATAAATATGGGAGTTGGGTCAGGGCGAATGGCTCAAACACATTTATCCTATGTGGTATCGAACTGACCTCAACAAATATCCAACTGGATTGTAAGCACATAAAGTGTGACACTATCGAAATAATGTTTCAAAGATTTAAAGATAAATTAATAAAATAAGAAATCGACAATTGACTGCAAACTTTATTAACAACACGATATACAATAACTTGAATTATGGTGTTATCACATTGTGATAATTGTGGTTGAAGAGGTGTTGGTGGCGACCATTCTCTGGGGCAGGGGGATTTGATAACATATGTCGTATTGTAACAGATTAAAAGAGGAAAGAACAGATATATCAACAATTATTTGAGTGTAGTGAATATGCTCTCAAAATACTAAAATTTTATATTAACGACTCCACTATGTGGATCATTAACATAAAATTTGGGGGTGGATTGTGACGCCTCATAATTATTATTAATAAATAATAATTAAATTCATTATACAGATATTTAAAAATGTCATAGAAATTATAATTTAAACAATAAAATGCAAATAATAAGCATAGAGTTCAAAAATATCCATTTGGAATATTGAATATTATATATATTAGTAAACGCATAAAATGTCTCAAAAAATCTCTAAATTTATTAAAAACCTACTTAAAATGTTTAAAATATATCAAATCATATAAATACAAGGCGATTATATTGCAATAACAAAGATAAATAACATTTGTAATATAATAGAAAGTTGATGAAGGTGTTCGTGTAATAATTGGAAAATTTCTAAGTTAATGAACGTGTTCTTGTAATGTTCCCTTATATTGGGGTGTTGTCGGAGACACATACCCAAGGTTGTACATATATATGGGGTGGTCGGCTGACCGACTGCTAGTACTAAGGTTGCACAATGACTAGTCCTATATTAGGGACTTAACATAGTAAGGTCTAACGAACCAAAGCATTAATATAGAAGGTCTCTATGATGCATAAGCATTATGATAGCAGAGTTATGACTTGAAGTCCCATATGAATAAGACACAGTAGTATGGTCTATGAAATAAAGCAAATATGTGGAAGGTCTCAAATATGTAAAAGCATTATATTGAAAGAAATGGGACTTGAAAAGGATTATTATAGTGGCGTGTAGGTTGCTTCGCAGCCTCTGAGACCGAGGTAAACTTGGACTCACTAACCGATGTGTCCTAGACATATCATCTTAGTGCCGGTGGTAAGCGGGTTTGTTGTAGCAATACGACTTGCCCGTGGACATCGCATACCCCTACCGGTTGTGGGCGGCGTCTTAGCGCATAGCGTTATGATACGTCGGCTATCTTTCGGATTAGGGTGAGTGTGTTTGGTAGTACTTTTAAGTGCAGCAAGCATACTCAACTTCATGTCTTAGTGCAATAGCGCTATGATACGTGGAGTATTGGCTACTGACGTCTTAGTACCGTGCTACTATGATACGTTGGTGGTATTTTTAGTTAACAACATTATCAAATTTTGTTACCAAAGTCGATAGGGATCATGTGGGTGTGTTGTGAGGGGGCGCCATCCGTATGATAGTTGCATTGATGCTTACTGCTACTTGCAGTATTGTGTCTTGTGATGGATCTGCGGGTGTGCTGCACCTGATTCGATGCATCTTGTGGTTCTGGTCGATGGAGGTATGCGGGTGGTGATGTCTGCTGGGACTGTATGGGGGACCTTGGGATGGTGTAAGCCCGACGATAGTCGTATTGATGCTTGTTGCATTCTGTAGCATTGCGTCTCTACGATGGTTGTTTGGCGGGTCGCTATTCTCAATGGCGCTCTCTGCGTCTTGGTTTGACTCACAACCTAAGTAGCTTTGCCCAAGTCGGGTCCCTTCATAGCGGGGCTGCAGACTGTCTGCCCTCCATGATGTTTTATATAACAACTTAATAATATATCTCTATAAAGTTCCCACCTTTGAGAGATTGAAGGCAACTTGTTGGTGGGTGAGACAAACATGATCGAAAAATGCATATACTCAACGTCAGTGACACAAACCCTTTCTGATGGCGAATTATTAATATTATCTTATAACTGCCTATTGGCTATATCTGCCATTGTATTGGTTGGTGGAGCATATGTGTTGACCTCATGCGGGTGGTAGCTGGAGGGAGAATCTGAGGAGGCTCTCAAGGCTGCGGCCGAAAGCCGCGCAACGTGGGACCCCATTCCCTTGAGGTGAGCGGTAGACTCATGACACGCTCTGCGGCCAATTGGCCGTGCTGACCATGCAATTGGTGGTGATGCCTTACACTTACATCACGTCTGCAGAAACGGCGGTCTGGCAGGTGGTGGCGCTCACGGAGGGCTTTTTATGGTCAGTGTGCCGATTGTTGCCTAACCCGTGTGACGTACATTTCACTGTGGCTGGATTTGATCGTATTCTGTATGGCGTTTACACGCATTGACATGCGCGACTTCGGTCGATGTTTGTGCTTACGCACTATCAAGGGGCCAAGTCCTCTTTTACTGGTTCGCCAGTTATTTTGCTGTGGACTACGGTCCAGTTCCCAACTTTGCGTACCCTTCGGGGGGAGCGCATTAAAATGGTTGGCGCTCACCGTGCGCGGCGTGTGTGGGGCCGTGTACCTCCTCCACATTTTTTTTAAAATGTGGGAGAGCGAAGCCCTTGTAACTGGTATTTGATATAAATATTGTGAGCCTTTTCCAAGCGGGAAGGGATTAATTAATAAGGAATTGACTGTTGTGAACCAGATACAAGTGGAATAGGGACAATTTATTGTTCTTAACCTTTTTGAGCTCTGTCTTCGTGAACGGGGTTCTCTAACTTATAAGACTCTACCAACAGCTTTCGATTGCTCTCGTGAATATTCATTCTTCCAAGATACACCTAAAAGAACTAAGTTACTATACAAACACAACGTAAAAAAGGGTCCTAACTAAGACGATCACGCCATAAATTTATTAAACGGCCTATATTTAAACCTTTAGAAAGATCAAGTTATACTGGTCACGTAAATTAGATGTATTTATATATCTTACAGATATAGATTCTAAAGAAATACAAGTATAAGTGGGATATAGTAGAAAAGAAAAAAGATGGGGGGGGGGGTTCGTTACACCATCATTTGATAGGAGCTCAGCTACCTCCCTCGCCAGATTAGCCTTGCCCTGTTCAAACATACACTTTAATTCCTTTGCGGCTCCCACAAAGTTGGTGCCGTTGTCACTCCACAAGTTCCTGCAGTGACCTCTTCTTGCAACGAATCTCCTAAATGCGGAAATAAAGGCTTGTGATGTTAAATCCGTAACAGCTTCGAGATGTATAGCTCGCGTAGACATGCAAACGAAGACACAGATATAGCCCTTTGTTGATTTGTAACCACGGCCCTTTGACGTTCGCAATTGCACAGGTCCCGAAAAATCAACTCCACTGTTGAAGAAAGCGCGATTTGGATTCACTCTTGCAGGTGGTAACTGGCCCATCAGCTGCTGCTTAATTTTTGCCTTGTCAATTATGCACACCTTACAATTACGAATAATTGCTCTGAGAGCAGACTTCAGACTAACTACCCAGTACTTGCTGCGGATATATGTAAGCATCTGAAGAAAACCTCCATGAAGAGTTCTCATGTGGGCTTCGTTAATTATAAGCTTAGTAATATGCTGCCTTTTTGGTATTATAATTGGATGTTTAGCATTCTCATTTATATTAGCATTAGCTAGTCGCCCTCCTACTCTAAGAAGCCCCCTTTTGTCTAAGAAAGGTGTAAGACTTATCAAAGAACTTCTACCTTTTATCTTTCCTTTCTTATTTAGATCTCTAATTTCATCTTCGTACACTAAGTACTGGTAGTATTTTATAAATTTTTCTTCAACTTCATTCATTTCTTCCGTAGTTAAATATTTTCATTTTTATTTTTATTATGTAGAAATTGTAAACACCATGCAAGAACTCTTTTCATTCGTAACATAGATGAAAATCTTTCCCAAACTGGTTTTTCCTTTAAAACTACATTAAACGATCTTTTTATCTCTAAATATGTTTGAGGTATATAATGCTTTGGTAAATCCATTCCTTTATTTTTTAACCACTCTGGTCCAGTCCACCACATGTCATTGTTTGCCATTTCAATTGGCGCCAACCCTCTAGACGCGAGGTCAGCGGGATTGTCGGTTGATTGAACATGATACCACCTCTCATTGTCTATCAACTGAATTATGTCCGACACTCTATTGCCAACAAACACTTGCCATCGACTTGGTTGAGACTGTAACCAAGACAGAACCACCATTGAATCAGTCCAGGCATATATTTGATCCATATGTATATCACATAGGCCAGATAACTCGTGCAATAGCATAGCCAATAACACCGCAGCGCAAAGTTCTAATTTAGGAATCGTCAATTGTTTCAATGGTGCCACCTTGGTTTTGGATGCCACCATTGTGACGTGGACCCTATCATCTTCATCTAAAACCTTGATATAGACCACTGCTGCGTACGCAACGGAAGAAGCATCTGCGAATCCATGCAATTGCACTTCTTTACAACGTGACGTCGTTTTAATCCAGCGTGGGATTTCAATGCCTTGCAGCTCTTGAAGTGCCTCTCTGTAACTAAGCCATTCCTCTACTAGCTCAGAAGGTAGTTCATCATCCCAGCCAAGATTACTTAACCACAGTCTCTGTATCATAATCTTAGCAGTGATAATCACTGGAGAGAGCCAGCCAAATGGATCAAAAAGCCTGGCCACATCTGATAATATTAACCGTTTTGTTACAGGTTTCCTGGTTTCCGGTAAGTTGACTGTAACCTTGAACGTATCCCTTTTTCTGTCCCATGTAAGACCAAGTATTTTTATCACCGTATCTAATTTTATTTCTATGCTGTCCATAGTTTCCGAAATGTCTTTGTCATCTTGAAGAAACCGCAGCAACTCATCAGAATTGCTAGACCACTTCTGCATTTGAAAGCCACCTTTTTTTAACAGATTCTTAACTTCATCGCAAATTTGTTTTATTTCCGACAGATCTTCATGCCCGGTCATTAAATCGTCCATGTAGAACGAATTCTTAACGACAGCAGATCCTCGAGGGTACCTGTCACCTTCATCATCAGCCAGCTGGTGTATAGACCGTACAGCAAGGTATGGTGCTGCAGCGGTTCCAAACGTTACGGTAAGTAATTTATAACTTTCTATGTTTCCAGAAATATCATCTCGCCAAACAATACGTTGTAAATTTGTGTGTTTGCTAGTCATCCTTACTTGACGATACATTTTGATTATATCGCCGACAACACATATTTTGTGAGACCTCCAGCGAGTGATAAGAGCACGAAGATCAGGTTGTAAAGTGGGGCCAATCATCATGGCGTCGTTTAAGGAGAGGCCATTGGAACCCTTGGCTGAAGCGTCGAAAACAACTCTTACCTTTGTAGTGTCTTTATCCTTTCTTACGACAGCATGATGAGGTAAGTAAATTGCTTCATCTTCCTCTCCTTTTTCAGCTTTCTTCATATGACCCATCTTTAAGTACTCATGTATCACATTCCTATACTCTGTTCTCAAATCTTCATGCTTGATAAACATCCTTTCCAACTGTTTAAATCGTTTGATGGCCAGGTATTTAGTCTCGCCGCATGCCTTCACTGTTTCCTTAATACTATGCTTTAAAGGTAAATGGACTACATACCTTCCCGATGTATCCCTTGTCGTTGTATCTATGTAGTGTCTTTCACATCTTTCTTCTTCCTTTGTCCATGCTTTCTTACTCGTGTATTTTTCCGATTCTATTTCCCAGAATTTTTTCAATAGATTGTTGTCTTCATCTACGAGCCTGGTGACATGTAAGCTAATAATTTTTTGTGCTTTAGTAGGAGTTGTGTATATATCACCTGTCAATATCCAGCCTAGGTGTGTGCGTTGAGCGATTACATCGCCCGGTCCCTTTAGCAGACCTAAATCTATAATTTTCCCAAAAACGTCAGCTCCGAGTAGGATATCAATCCGACCCGGGACGTTAAAGCTGGGATCAGCTAACTTCACATTTTTAAGTTGAGGCCAATCGTACCCTCTTATTTCCCTAGCAGGTAGTCGACGAGTCAACGATTTCATAACATAAGCATTAACATCAATAGAAAAATCACTTTCATGCCTCGACTTAATATGTAATCCTACTAAATGATTAATATAAACTTTATTACCTTCACCAATTCCTGACACCACGCCGCTGATTTGAGTCCTCTTCAGACCTGATAACTCGACCACTCGCGCTGTCACGAATGAGGCCTCCGAGCCCTGATCAATCAGAGCCCGAAAGACGTGCAATTGTCCCGTTCGCGAAGGCACCTCTACCAATGCTGTCGCTAACAAAACTTGTTGAGCGGGTTGTTCTCCACTTGACATATGTGCTGTAACCTTGCTAACTTCTTGTGTATTTGTTGTAGTTTCTTCTGTATTTGCCCTTACTTCACCTGCTTGTTTTATAAAATCTCGATGTAATAAAGAGTGATGTCGTCTGTTGCATATTTTACACGTATTTGACTGCCTGCATTTAAATACGGAATGATTTGGAATTAAACAATTGAAACACAAGTTGTTTTTCTGGACGAAACTGTATCTCTCTTCTATTGGTTGTTTAGCGAATTCCTTGCAATTAAATATAAAATGAGTTTCTTTGCAGAAGGGGCAATATTTATTTTCGCTAGTGGAAATCGCATGAAATGTCTTAGGTTTAACTAGTTTGTAAGCTTTATTTTCAGGTTCCACCATCTCCAACATGCGAAAACGTGTTTCCAGGAAGGCCTTCAGTACTTCAAAACCAGGTAAGTCATCAGTACTATCTCTACTTATTGTAATTTCCCACTGTTTATGTGTTTCAGGATCCAGCTTTGACACGATGACATAGTTTATGATTGCATCCCATTGCGCTATTGGTAAGCCAAGATTTTTTAATGAATTCATACATTCAATTGACGTATCGAGCAGTTGCCTTAAGGACGAAGCTGACTCCTGAGCTAGTGTTTTTTGGAAAAAAAACTTTTTAAATACGCAATTAGCAATGTACCTTTTGTTGTTATAACGCTTTTTCAAAATGGACCAAGCCTCAGCATAATTTGCATCCGTAGTAGAAAACTGGCGCAACAAAATTTCTGCATCTCCTTTCAAGCTGCTCTTAAGATAATGTAGTTTCTGAACATCTTCTAATGACTCATTCTTGTGTATTAATGCCATAAAGAGATCGTGAAACGATTGCCATTCCGTGTAGTTGCCTTCAAAAATTGGAATCGAAATACTGGGTAATTTTATATCACTCCCGGAACCACATGGTCTCATGTCATCTATTTTGTGCAGATCGTCTGGTTTTTTCATATCGACCATTAATTTATTTAATGAAGTTTTCATTTCGCCCTTGTACGTAAAATATAATTCTTCAAATTTATCGAATATATCTTCCGCAAAATATGGTAACATGTGTCTATCCTTTTTAGAAACAGCCATAACTAATTTCTCATGACCGGACTTAAATTCCTTCCAATATGTTTCTAAAGTTTCCATTCTAATCTGTATATAACCTACGGTTATCCTGTCCTTAGGCGATTTTTTGTAATTAGCGTACGTCTTTTGTATCTTTTCAAATGTATCAACTTGTAGCAACATTTGATTTTCAACGCTCTCCATATTTAATATCTTTTATTTACAACAATACAAATAAAATACTTTAGTAGTAATTCACAGTTTTCGAATAGCTTCCTTAACTTTCAACATATATGTAGGTAGGTAATTATTCTTACCAATAGGTCCAAAGTTCACCTTAAAACATTCACAGTTGTTAATAAACACTAATAATTGTTCGCCGACTCACTATATTTTAGTTTAATTTACTTCGTTTAGGATTACCGTTGCACAAAAGTAACGTTTTTATAATTCAATTGTCCGTGTAATGTAATTTTGTTCACTAATAACTGATTTTTAACGTTCTTTCACTGTTATTCACTTTTCCTTCAGAACTTTTCTTCGATAATGTTCATTTATTTTTACTAATAAGTCCGTATTCCGTATTTTTCAAAATAACTCCAATTACATCTACTCGCAAATTTACGTAATTAAAATAGGGCAAGTTGAATGATCCGTGCTCGAAGAACCATGTGCACTCGATAATAAGGTGCACTTTTGCTTGCAGGTGAAATAATGAAAGAAACCTGTCTTCACTCAATGATTACTTTATTCGTACTGAGTTGACACATTATCACATCTGTTGCCGCGCAAAAAAAACTACAGCTAGATACATTGTATTATATATAGATAATATATGGGCTAACCGGCATCTAGCAAAAATATTAAATATGTAATAAACAACACCTATGAAGAAAATTACTTTAGTTACGTACTAACCTTATCCGCTTTTTACTTGTACTGTTTTCCATTACTATTGAGTAAAAAATATAACTCAAATCAATTTCTTGAATCGATATAAGAAAACAACGCGCTTAATTTGACGCGAATGTCACTGTGACAGTGATTGTCACAATTGCTGTCAAACTTTTTTTTTACCGTCGCTAGTCTATGGATTCATCAGAATGACAACATAATAAAACTAAAGTATTTCATAAGTACGATTTAACTAAAACAGGTTTATAGAACGTTTATGAATACAGAATTTTATAATAGGTTTATTAGTACTAATGAGCATTTTAACTAAAGAGTGTTATAACGCCATTTTAAGGGATTTTTATGAAGACTGTAAGACTCACAGGCAGTAAAGAAACAGTCCTCAGTGCATATCATGGCTACGTCTCTTCAGTACTACGCTATGGTTAGCAGTATAAGTTGTATGGGGTAATTCAGTGGATATAGGCAGGGCGTTTAAAACACAAATGAGGAATTGTTCGAACTAATTCCAGCCGCTCAATTTCACCATCGCACATCGCAACAAAACTCGCGATACCATCCATACCATCTGGATGACTGGCGGTTCACCACTGTGAGATTTAGAAGGAGTTTTCTTCCACGCACAACTTCCTTGTGGAATCTATTACCACCAGCGATATTTCCAAACAGATACGACTTTGGGACCTTCAAGAAAAGAGCCTCCTCCTTTTTAAAAGGCCGGCAACGCATCTGCAATTCCCCTGGTGTTGCAGTTGTTCATGGCCGGCGGTAGTCACTTACCATCAGATGAGCCGCATGCTCGTTTGCCTCCTGTCCTATAAAAAAAAATGTATTAGAGCCATGTGTGGTGTACGTTACATCTAAGATGCTGCTGCTGATAATATAAATAAAATATGCTGCTTGAGGTAAAATATAAATTATATTTAAAAATTGCTAATAGCTAATGATGAGTACACGAACGCGCTGTATGGCGATGCTATGTGAACTGATTCGATGAACAATAAAATAAGTATATAATAAAAATGCTGATCGGGCGATTTGTGCGGTTGCACCGTACATGCTCCCGGGCGAGAAGATGGGCGAGATGATTATGAGATGAGCTAAACTAAAACATAGATGAGACCGACATAACACTTATCGGCCAATTTACAAGATGATGACCCGATAATTTCTAGCGAGTTTTCCTAAAATTACATTTTAATAAAACTGGTGAAGTGTTTTTATGCACCGACTGATTAGGCTCACTTTGATTCTCTTGATCGGACACGCTTGCACAATGATCACTTTGCTCTGCTTTAACACACTCACTATCATCACACTTCACATCTTTTAAACACACACAATTTACACTGGTGTCACGCCGACAGCTGGCTGAAGCTGGGTGAGTGGAGGCGCGGGAGCGTTTCCACTTCGCGCGCACCCACGCCACGCACGCTGCTGCTAGTCCTGCCGCCACCAGAGAATAGATAACGGCGTAGTGATGGACATCAAGATAGTTGAGGCTGTTCGCCTCGCTAGCTATGCCATCCGAAGCTGACCTTAACTCTTTAATCTGCCGGTCAATGTTTTCTATAGTTTGCCCGAAATTCTCTGACGCGTTAATCGTAGATGGGTATCGATATGTTGATGATACTATTGACAGACGCGATCTCTGGTGCCAAGATCACCGGCTCGATATTAATCTTATTTGTCGTTTGTTTATGAGGCGTAATTACTAGAGTATTTCCCCAAATGACGCAGTCAGTGCCGAGAATTAAAATGTTTACTCCCGTCACCTGTTCTACGGTAACTCGATCTTGACATATGAATCGGATGGTACATTGACCGCAACAATTAATTATATAGGAGTTTAGCTTTGTAAGCTTTCGCCATCTAGTCTGACATGTGCTGCTGATAATTTTACAGGTGTTTGATTGTTTGTTTTTAATACAAAGGCTCTCGTCCGTCTGTCTCTCGTAGACGGGCGTTTGAAGCTGGCAAAGATAATCCGAATAAACATTATATGTCACAGGTATGAATGTGTCTTTATTCAGGTTTATGGCTACGTGATCTGCAATCGGTATCAGGAATCGGTATCGGTATCCTGTACTAATCGCATACTTCCCAATTTTTCAAAAAATATGTATTTGTTATCACTCAGTTTTGTTATGTTGTAGTTGAAGTTATGAACAGAGTAAGTGTCATAAAAATAGATAAGAAGTTTATATGAAAACTTTTCTTGGGTGTTTGTGTCCTTTTATTTTATGCTGATGTTTCATTTATTATTGTTGTTTCGCTACTTTTGTTTGACTGATCTATGTTAACTGGTAGGATCGATAACTTAATTACAGGTATTTTGATAACAGAACCGTTTCGTGTTTTGACTGAGACGACTCGGACCAGATTATCGGTACCGGGGTGTAGTTCAATCACGCGACCTAAAGCCAATTTACCAGGGGTAGGTTAGCGTCGTGTATTACCACAACATCATCAAGTTTGATGTTTTCCCGTGACTGATGCCATTTGCTTCGTACTGAAAGCTGAACCAAATATTCAGCACGCCACTTTTTCCAAATGTCACGTATCTTTTTCGTTAGCTGCCACGTATTCTTTGTTGTTCTTAATGCCTCGACCCTTTTTTGCTTTCATGTCTATGTATCCCGTGAAATTCAGCCCTGTTCTAAAAAACGAGCGCGTGGAATTCGTCTTTGCTTCGGGTAATTCTCCATTAGCTGCTCATTCATTTCTGGATTGTGGCGTTTGCATATAACACAACGGCGTAAACGATTTCTCACAACTTTATTTCCACCTAAAATCCAATATTGCTGTCTAAGCCAAGCTTGCGTGAGGCGGGCTCCTCCGTGAAAAGTTGATTTGTGTGCAAGATCGATAAGTATATTAGTAAGGTGGCCACTATGTGGGATAATGTATGGATGTTTCATATCGTAAGGGATGTTGCTCGCACTAAGCCGTTTTGGTCCAAATACGAATTTAGGCAGAGAAGCTTGCTCTTAGAATCCACCTTGCTCTGCTTGGATAAATCGTTCATTTCCTGCAAACATTTCGATTTTTGAACACTCAATATAATTTTTTCAGTAGCGTTACGCAACTCCGCTGTTGTTAAGTAAGGTAAATTTACGCTGTTTTTTGAGATCGTTCGCAATATCCATGCAAGTACACGTGTTGCTCGCGTGAAACTACTTTGTTTGTGAATTATTGCGCTAATAATATCAATTTCGTCGTTGTTTTTGTTTGTTTGTACGGTGTTAGATAATTTCACCTTGCATTCTAAATCGGTTTGTTAAGTTCTTAGATTTTCGTGAGGGTCAGCTGATGATAATAGCCATAAAGGTCCTTTCCACCATAAGGTATGTCGCTGTAGCTGTTCTACTGTCATACCACGGCTGGCACAGTAAGCCGGGTTTTCTGTGCTTTTTACATAACGCCAGCATTCTGGGGGCATGACGTCTGTAATCTTCTTGACCCTGTTGGCTACAAATGGCTTCCAGCGGTTAAGGTCTTCCTGAATCCAACCGAGAGCTGCCGTGGAATCGCTCCATCCGTAGACTTCGAGATCAAATGCTTTTAGGCTTAGTTTTATTTTAGTCATTAGTTTTGAAAGTAGAAGTGCACTGCTTAATACCAACCTGGGTAGCGAAGTTTGATTTTCGGTCGAACTCTTGCTCGATGGTACGAGTTTCGTTTTCGCTGCCAATATTGTTATAGATGCTATGCCTTTATGAATAATACGGGCGTATACGACGCAAGCGTAAGCTTTGGTGGAAGAGTCGCAGAAACCATGTATCTTTTTTTATAGTATAGGGTGACAAACGAGCACACAGTCCACCTGATGGTAAGTGGTTGCTGTGGCCCATAAACATAGACTCCTTTGCGAATCAAAATGCAGATGCGTTGCCACCCATAAGGACTAAGATTGATTGCCTCGTTTCCGTAAAAAGGGTCTCCGGTTCTCTACACTCACCATACGAAACACAGCAGTATTAAGCTGCTATTTGACGCTGGTATTCTGTGAGAACGTGGTCCTCCCCGGACGAGCCAACCCATTCGTGCTACAACTATACTACTAATATAGCTGCAGCATGGCTCTACCACGTATAAAACTTTACTTTTCTTTCGAGTTCCAATCCATCGGGGAATTTCGATATTACTGATGTTTTCGATGTCTGCTCTTAATGTTAACCATTTGAGTATACGTCATCAGGTATGACATCATCCCAAATTAGATTTTCTTGCCAAACGCTTTGAAATAATTGTTTAAGCTGAACCATGGCTGGCGAAATGAAACCACAAGGATCGAAGACTTTAGAGATTTCGGCTAGTAAAACTCTTTTTGTTGGTTTGGTTGTTGTTGGTGCTGTCATTTTACATTGGAAGGTGAAGTTGTCATCCTTGGCAATCCATGTAAGTCCGAGTGCTTTTGTTGATTCCTGGTGCTTAAAGTCATAAGTGTTTGGGGAGCTTGGTGCGACATCTTCGAGTAGTGACTTCTCATTTGACGAAAATTTGCGAAGGTTGAATCCTCCGGTTTTAAGTAGGTCGATTAGCTGTCGTTGCAATTTTTTGGCTGACATGACGTCATAACTACCACACAAAGCGTCATCCATATAGAAATTTTGCTCTAATGCTTTCGATGCTTCAGGATAACGTTGACGCTCGTCTATACCTAGCTGCTTAAGCGTCATCATCGCTAGAAATGGAGCTGATTTTGTGTCATACGTCACGGTATTTAGCTAGTATTTGCTAAGTGGCAGATTTGAATTTTCGCGCCAAACTATGCATTGATAAAGCTGGTCACCAGGATGCACAATTATTTGCCTGAACATGTTTTCAGGTCAGCTGTAAAGGCATATTCGTATTGTCTCCATTTAAGGACCAAAACTAAAAGTTTTTACTGAAGATTTGGGCCTCTGTACAAGACATCATTCAAACATACACCGGTTGATGTTTTTCCGGATGCATTAAATACCACTCTTAGTGACGTAGTTAAAGAGTCAGGGCGTTCGACAGCGTGATGCGACATGTAATATATGGGTGTCAAATTCGCCGCTATTGTATGCATGTGACGTAGATTGATGTATTAGTTTATAAATTGCTTATAATTATGGGCTAAATTTTGATTTTTTCCAAATTTACGTTCGAGCTGATAAAATTGTGCACAAGCTTTGGGTTCAGATAATCCTAACTTCTCCTCAGCGTCAGGGTGTAGTGGAAGGCGCACTACATATCTCCCATCAGGTTGGCGAAAAGTAGTCTCTTGGTACTTTTGAAGGCATTGATGGTCTTCGAATGACATCTCCTCATTGTCATTGATATCTTCGATCGACCAAAATTTATGTATGCTGTCAATGTCTACTGATGATCGAAGAGTAAACGTCGGCGCCCAGTAACAAATCTACTGTCCTGCTACGATAAAATTCAGGGTCCGCTAGTTGGATGTTTTCAATAAACGCCCATGATGGTTTTCCGAATGATTTGTTTGGTAAGCTGTTTACTGCGTGATTCATTATAAAGACATCAAGATTTATGCTATACGTGCTATAACAAGAAGATAAGATGATGTTCATAACACCCTTGCAGCTGTTCTCCTTCGCGCCTACTCCTAATATCACTCCTTTGCAATGCTTGCGAGGTAATCCTAATCTTTGAGCGCCGTTTTCGGTGATAATTGAAGTTTGGGACCCTTGGTCGATAAGAGCCCTCATGGAGTGAAGAGTACCATCGAAAGCTTGGACGTTGATTATAGCAGTTATATAGTCGGTCGTTGTACTCGGATTTGCAGCGTTTGCTGATACGGCAAAGGCTTCGTGAACTAGTGTATGATGATTGCTTTGACACTTATTGCATCTTTTCTTTGAAAAAATTAATTACCGTTATGATTATAAAGGCAGTTTTAGCATAAAGATAGCTTGGATATTATTTGTCGCTTGAAATCAGGTCGATATGTTGAAAATGTTTCGCAATACGGAATAGCGTGATCTTTATTGCAGACTGCATTTTTGCTTCAGTGCGGACGCTAACCTACTTTTATTATTAAAATTATTTCATTTAAATGACGGATTTTGATTGCTCGTGAATGCTTTAAAAACGACTGATTTCTTATATTTACGCGAACACTACACATTTAAATAAAACTAATTTTACGGATTTTATCGCGTATATTCACTTTTTTTATATTCTCGACGTTTCGAGCACTTTTCAGTACCCATGGTCACGGGGGGACTGAGGTGTATGACGTCCCAATGTCATAGTTAACCACAGCTGCTGAGCTCCAACACGTCAAGCAAGTTTTGCACGACAATAAGCTTCGGGTTTCGCGCCTACGTCACAGTAAACGAGTGAATCCGGCCACAGTCGAGCAAGTGCCTGCTGTACTGCCTGCCATATGTCAGAGGTGTCACTGACAAGATTGGCTACATCTTGAAGCGTGCTTCCATTAAAACATACTTCAAGCCGCCGAAGAAGATTAGTCAGGTTTTACCATCAGTCAAGTGTAATATTCCTCTGCAAGATGCAGGAGTGTACAAGCTTGATTGTGAATGTGGTCTCTCTTATATAGGACAAACTAAAAGATCCATAAAAACCCACGTTAAAGAACACATAGCTGATGTGAAGAATCAACGCTCCGGGAAGTCTGCAGTCTGTGAACACGTACAGGATCGCCCCCGTCACTACATTAGATTTGATAAACCACAAATCCTCGCTAAAGAACACCCGATTCCTTCCAAGGATGATTCGCGAGGCTATTGAAATCAAAAAACATCCTAATTTCAATAGAGAAGATGGCTGGGTGCTACCGTCTGCTTGGGATCCCATAATTAATAAAATTAAATCCCAACCCAAGCATACAACTGCAATACTTCATGATACTGTAAGTTGTTACTGCGTAGATCGGAACAAAAATTAATAATTTTTAATCTGGAGGAAGCCGTGGTTAACTATGACATTGGGACGTCATACACCTCAGTCTCGCCCCCCCCCCCCCGTGACCATGGGTGCTGGAAAGTGCTCGAAACATCGGGAATATAAAATAAGTTAATATACGCGATAAAATCCGTAAAATGAGTTTTATTTAAATGTGTAGTGTTCGCGTAAATATAAAAAATCATTATTTAGACATGTTATTTTTTTGTTGTATACTGAAATCTGGTATATTTTGTTATACATATACAGATAGGTAATGCATGTTAATGAAAAACAGTAATTGTAATAGTCATGTAGCAATATATTTATTTATATTAAAGTAAAAAGTAAAGGTGTTATCAGGATTCCGAATTACTAACACATCTAGAAAAGCTAAAGAATTGTTTTCCTCTAACTCCATAGTGAACTGAATTTTAGAATTTAAGGAGTTGAGATGGTTTAAAAATGCAGTTACGTTATCTAAAGGTAGAATTGTGAAAGTGTCGTCTACGTACCGCTTGTAGAATCTTGGGTTTACAGGAGAAGTAAGCAGGGCTTTCTCCTCAAAGTCCTCCATGAATATATCGGCGACAATGGGAGATACAGGTGAACCCATCACCACTCTATCTACTTGCTTGTAGAACTCCTCCTTCCACAATAGGTAGCCAGATGTAAGGCAGTGTCTGAGTAATACTGCATATTCTACGGGCATGTTGTTTTCCTCTAGCCTTCTAGTAACAATCGAGATGCAGTCTTCAACAGGTAAGCATGTGAACAGAGACTGCACATCAAAATTGACCATAGTTTCATAGTTTGCCAGATGTAGGTCTTTAATCTTGCTGACAAAATGGTAGGAATCCTTTGTGTGTGCTCTTGTATGTCCCTTGAGCGGTGAGAGTATATTTGCTAAGTGTTGAGCCAATCTGTAAGTTGGTGAATTGATTTGGCTCACTATGGGACGTAGTGGAGCATTGGGCTTGTATATTTTTGGTAACCCATACAACTTCGGTGGTTTTGCACACGTAGGTATTATCGATTTTACGTCTAGATTTAATTTTTCGGAGTGTTTCTTTTGTGATCACTAGTAGTTTTATGTGTGTTATTTGTTGGGTCATTTTTAACCTTTTTATAAGTACTTACGTCCGACAAAAGTTCTTGTATTTTAGAATTATAATCCGACGTATCCATGACTACCGTGGCATTTCCCTTATCTGCGCGGAGAATCGTGAGTTCTGGCTTATTGCGTAGGTTATTCAACGCTTTAAATTCGTCTTTAGGTAGATTCGGTTTTGGCGCTGAACTTCGACGTAACATAGACGAAATGTCTTGACGTATCGCTTCCAAATCTTCCTTTCGCATATTGTTTTTAAATAAACAGTCCTCGACACTACAGATAATTTCTGTCGAGGACTGTTTATTTAAAAACAATATGCGTGTAGGGGACTGCATTGGATTGTATTATTTTATTAACTAACTGATGTGTGTGACGACTGATTCTATGTAGGGTATGCCATTATGTATTCCAACTATTTACAAGCGGCAGATAATTTATATATATACTCAGAGGGGAATCTTCAATGGAGTATTAATTAGCTCTTCTCTCTTGATTTCTGTCTTGAGGTTTTCTTCTCTCTTGCTGTTGTATCTTCGAGTGCCGCTTCCGAAAATGAACCGCCGAAAATGAACAGCTCACAGACCAAAACGCCCTTTTTATATTCTCAAACAGAGTGTCTCGGCATGTGAGTGGTATTGTAAGATGTGCCACGCGCTGATTGGTCGGCGCCATCACGTGATATTCGGGCGGTGTGCGGGGTGCGCGTTGCGCCAACGGGGTATGAAAGGGCGACGGGGCGGCTCCCCTCGCCATCCGTAACATCCTCCCCCCCGGCGTAGTATGCAAGCCTAATCTTTTCTCGGGAGGACGGCGATCTTCACTAGTCGTCGCAGCACTTCACCCCTGGTCCGGATCTCGACGTTGCGCACCACGCCGTCAGGTCCGGGAAACGTCTTCGTGACGATCCCCCTCGGCCACACGTTCCGCGGTAGGTTGTCGTCCGCAACCACAACGAGGTCCTCTTCTTTTATTTCCTGTCGCTGGGCGTCCCGGGAAGCTCCGCGCGCGTCCAGCGTCGGCAGGTACTCCCTCACCCAGCGCCTCCAGTACTAGTCGGCGAGTCCCTGCGCCGCTCTCCACGCCCGACGATCGATGGGTGAGCACGGCGCGGTGATCGGTAGGCCCGACGATTCCAAGAGGATGAAGTGGTTGGGTGTTAATGCCTCTTCGTCATTGATGTCGACCGGTACATGAGTCAACGGTCGAGAGTTGACGGTGTTTTCTGCTTCCATTAAGAGCATCGCTAGAGTCTCCTCCCTTGGACTCTTCTAATGTAGAGTGACTTCCAGCGCTGTCTTCACCGAACGCACGAGACGCTCCCATGCGCCTCTCTGGTTAGGCGCGCTCGGTGCGATGAACTTCCATTCCGTGCGTCGAGTCAATGCGTAGTCCTTCAGCTGCGGCGCCCACTCTTCCATCGCCCGTCGTAGCTCTGCATCTGCTCCATGAAAATTAGTGCCGTTATCTGAGTATATGACTCGTGGCCACCCGCGCCTAGCCGCCATGTGCCGCAATGCCGATATCGCCGAGTCTGTCGTTAGGGAGTAAACTAGCTCTAGATGAACCGCGCGCGTCGTTAAACACGTGAAAAGTGCTACCCACCGCTTTTCGTGCCGTAGTCCTATCGTAACTAACAAAGGCCAGAAATAGTCGACTCCGGTGTAAGTAAAC